TGCTACTTCGCTTAATATATTATCTGAATTTATTTTGTTAACGCTCTCATTTTTTGGTGCAAGAATCGCCCTTTCACATTTTGTCTTCATGCATTTTCGTTAAATCTGAATAAACGCTCGCAATTAATTCGGAATGACTCTGTACTAAATTACAAAAATCTCTTTTCAATTTAACGCAGCCCTCAGCATCCGTTTCCAACCGCCCATCGCCAATTTTTAATAGTGTGTCAGCATAGTTTCCAGCATTGATTTATACAAATGCACTCTCATATTCGTAGTTAAACTGAATTTTGTCACCTTGTTCCATAAAATAGACGACTTGAGGCATGTTTTAATTTGATCTGCAGGTGTGCCCTTTTGAATGACAGGTAAAGTTTGCGAAAGTCACCAGCTAGTAAAATCACCATTCCTCCCATTACATCGGTATTGCTGCGCAAATCCTGGAGCGTTCGATTTAGTGCTTTTACAGCTTTTTTATGCGGCATTGTACTTTCATTCCACACTAAAAGTTTGCATTGTCGTAGCATTATACCTCGTGCACTATTTTTGCTAAAGTTGCAGATCGGCGATTCTTCCTGGGCTAGATTTAGAGGGAGTTTTAAAACAGAATGTGCAGTGTGGCCCCCGCTTAGCAGCGTGGCGGCTATACCGGAGGAAGCTACGACCACAGCAATGTTTTTATCTTTCCGTACTTGCGCTAATAATAAATTTAACAAAAATGTCTTCCCAGTTCCTCCAGGGGCATCTAAAAAGAAAAGTGCACCATTTCCAGATTCAATTTGTCCTAATACTTTGCCAAAAACTCGTTTTTGTTCGGGAAGCAAGCGGGATACAAATTCGGCTACTTGCTGCTGCAAAGCTGGTATATCGTAGTTTGTTTCACGTATGATTTCATCACTTAGTTCATTTTCGGTTGTTCGCTGAGGGCTTATCATTCCAAAGTCGCTTAATTTTTTGCCTACCATTGCCATTACTTTATCTTCAATTTTTCCAAGTGCTTCATTATAAATGTGTTCATTGTATGTCATGTTCGCGTGTGTCTGCTGTAACCTTCGCAAAATATCTTCCGCCATGTACTCTTTATATTTATCCCACAATTCATGTGCATTAGATAGCCCGCAAGATGATATGAGAGTTGCATAAAGATCCCTAATTTTGGTGACTGGCACTGCACAGCTTCCTCCATGGTTTCATCCCAGTGATTATCGTTTTCTAAAAGATGCAGAGCTTCACATGCTTCTCTATAAGTTGCGCATTCCTGACCGTTGACAGTTTTAAGGTCTTTATATCCTGTAGGACCCCGAACATGGTGCAGCAGCAATCGTAAACAGAAACATTCAAAATTAGTTACGTGGACGGTATACATACGACCAAGGGCATCTGGTGACTTTACACCGGGCCAATTTGCAACAGGCGCGCCTTGAATACGGCGTTTCCACTCCTTCTGATGTGGGGGGGATTGGTTGAAAGGGTCGGTTTGTTGAAGAGCTGTAGTGTAGTTTTTGGTGGTGATGCAATTCTTTCTTGGAAATTTCTTTCGGTGAAATATACACGCTCTCCATTTTCTAAGTGCACAGCAAGGTGAGTAACTGTTGGGTGCCTTTCGTGTAACGGGAAGCCAAGGAGACGCCACGCTGCCTCGTAACTGCTGACATAACGCCCTGCTTGAAAGGTCTGTACTTCATTAACGGGATTTGCCTCACCTTCACTCCTGAGATTGCTTGGTCGCTTCCTTTATTTATGTACTTACAGATATACTTGATTGCGCGGACAGAGCTACATGCTTCTACATTAATGTGGGCTTTAAACATTTTACATAGAATGGGCGAATACGGGACCATCCAGCTGTTATCTAAGGTTTCGAACGCTCCAGAGCGAGATTTGATTGTAACTTTCCTGCCACCATCTTCGGGAGCTCTGCGTCTGTATAAAGGGTAGCCATTGTCATTGTGCACTGTTTCTTTTAATAGCTGTTTAGTGAATTTCTTTGTACATTTTCCTTCTTTCATACATGACGATATTGAATTTCGTGCTCCACATGGACCGTGAATCATATTTCGGACAATGGTATCATACAATTCTTTATCTTGCTCAGGATCCGGAATCTCGGCGCTTATTATGTCGTCTATTTGGCTGGGCCGCAACTTCTCTTTAAGCCATATTAGAATGTGGGCATGCGGTAATCCTCTTTTTTTGCCATTCAATTGAATACATGAAGCACTGCACCTCTCCGAAAATTTTCCCTTTGTTAATTACATACACTAATTTTTGTACTTTTAATCTAAATGCTCTAGCAACTAAATCGTGTCTGTCAGTACTTTTTTTGGCCCGGCATTAGCTCCTCGGTTATTTCTTTCCATGTGGGATTGCAAGTAAAAGTAACAAAAAGATCAGGTCTTCCGTAAGTTCGAATGCGTCTTGTGTGTACTCATATATGTAGGTAGCGGGGACTGTTAACGAATGATGAGGGCAGAATTACCATTTTACCTAAATCTCTGGGGTTTACATTGGCGTCGCTAGAAACTGCATCTTGTAAATGTATATAATACTCAACGCGCAGCTTTTTTTGATTTAAAGATATATAACGGAGACGTTCACTTTCTACCTTTACATACATGTCTACCAAAAATTGAGAAAATAATTGTCTACACCGGGCTAAGAGGTTAAAATCTTTTTCTCGCAACATCATATGATACGCATAAAAATCCATACATGATACTTTTTTGTTCGGAGTAGGCTCCTTTGTGACCGGGCTCATGAGTGGAATTTGAAAATGATAACCCTCTTGCCCTTTGCAATAAATCAATGGGTATTGCAGAGCGTCATAAAACTTGTGTGTATCGGCTACCCGTTGCAACGTATCATCACGTGCTCGCAAGACAATGTCTCATGAAGAAAATTGATCACCACTAATTACGGCTGCTATTTCGTTTATCAAAGGTGCATTGTAGCACCTTTCATGCTCTCCTCGAGGGGTCCAATCTGCGTGAATGACGACTTTATAATCCTCTTCAGGTAGGTTTTCTAAAGTAGTTTTAAATGTTTTGACTAAAATGTTACGTTCATGCAAGAATCTTTGAATTTTGAACACTGTGTCTCTCTCAACTCCCTGAATAAATTGGCAGCGACGGTCTACCTCAATTTCTTCGTCACCCATAAAATATACTTGTAAAAATTTATGCTATTCGTTTTCAGCTGGAAAAAGTGAACCTATTTTATGATAAATTTGCCCTTGTACCGTAAATGTAGGCAAAAATCCCGGGGCATTATTATTTCCCGGTCAACTCCAAAGGACGTCATTTGAAAGCATGAGTTATATTTCCGGATCCTGTTTAAAAAGCGCCGTAACTCATTAGCATCATATCTGCAAAATCGACCTTGTCCATCAGTTCGATAACAACTAACCTGTGATTTTTATAATCAATCAACGGATCATAATTGAATGCTGCGTCATTAAAAACCGACCAATTGTTTCTTTGAAAATTTTGTCGACGTTCAGCTTGGAGCTGTGCATTTGCATCTCTTCGCGCCTGTGTATGTTCTAGTGTTTCAGATGCCCTTATAGTAGATTGACTTTCTGCTTGCTCAATGAGTCTGTGTTGAGTTTCATCAGGTGTTTCCACGGCTCTTAAGGCGGCCTGATTCCTACTTGTTCGAATAGCCTTTGCTGACTTTGAGCAGGTGTATCAGTAGCTCTTAAAGTAGATTGAGGCTCTGCCTGTTCAAGACGCCTTTGCTGACTTTGATCAGGTGTTTCAGTAGCTCTTAAAGTAGCTTGACGCTCTGCCTGTTCAAGACGCCTTTGCTGACTTTGAGCAGGTGTTTCAGTAGCTCTTAAAGTAGCTTGACGCTCTGCTTGTTCAAGACGGCTTCGCTGACTTTGAGAAGGTGTTTGAGAAGCTCTTAAAGTAGCTTGACGCTCTGCCCGTTCAAGACGCCTTTCCTGACTTTGAGAAGGTGTTTCGGAAGCTCTTAAAGCAGCCTGACGCTCTGTCTGTTCAAGACGCCTTTGCTAACGTTGAGAAGGTGTCTCAGATGCTCTAAAAGCAGTCTGACGATCTGCTTGTTCTTGCCTTCTCAGTTCAGCATCTTCTAAAGATTCCAGCGATCGAGCTAATCTTTTCGCTTGTCTTTGAGAAGATACTCTTGAAAGGCAGCACTTACGTTTGCGAGGCATTATGAAGTAACAAAAAACGTATTTATAAAAAAACGTTAAAATACCTAAAAGGAATAAATATTCCTTTTAAATATTTTTTAAAATCAAAACAACAAAACCAATTCAAGACACAACACGAATCCTAAAACGATAGCCAAAAAAAAATCGAATCAACTTCAATCAAATCACAAAACAAATCGCAGAAAACCGAAATCGAAAGCAGTAGTCAATATAAATATAACCAACGAAAAAAGAAGTAAGTGTATAGGTACCGTATACACTATCTATACTATTAATATTCCTTTGAAATATTGTTAAACAACCTAAAACAACGAAAACCAATCCACGATTCTAAATAAACAAAATCCAAAATCAAAGCCAGAGTCTAAATATGTATAAAGGAATACCAACCAAATCAACAAAACCGATCCAAGAAAATACACAAATCCGAAAATGAAAGCCAATATAAATCCATTCAACCTTAACCAAATCACAAAGGAAATAACAAACAACCGAAATTGAAAGCAGGTAGTCGAATAAGCTACGAAATAGAAACAATTTAAGCGTATAGGTACCGTAGGCACTATAAGGGCCTTTTCAGTGCGACGCGGATGACCTACGCGGACGTCCGCGACGGACGGTAAAATGTATGAAACCTTACAGCGCGTTCAGAGCGACACGGAGCTGTCCGCGTCGCGGAGAGCTACCCGCGCGCGGTCGAAATCGCTCCGCGCCGCTCCTCCGCGCCGCGGATGTCCGCGGGCGGACGGTGCTTGGTTTTAATGTATTTGTTCAGTTCTCGGCGGACAGTTGCGCAGAGCGGACGTAAAGTACTGTCGTTGTCATGACGGCTGCGTCAAATGTGCAAACCGAGAGGGTTATACAAGAAGTACGACTTCGACCATGTCTTTGGAATCTCCGCGACAATTCATATAAAAATAAAGACGCGAAATTAAAGGCATGGAAAGATGTTTGCGAAGCTGTTTGTCCGAATTTCGGAGATAGTTCAGGTGAAGAAAAAAAACAAATCGGTAAGTAATGTTTATTGAAACATCTGTGTTATCTAATAAATATAACTATTTTGCCAAGGTACAGATCCTTCATTTGAGACAAAGTAATTTGCAAAATTATCTCTTATTGTATTGCCCGATCGTGTACTGTCATTAATGCGAGCATTGCAATCTGTAAATCCAGCTACAATCATAGCGTCTTCTTCCGTATAACCATCGCGTACTCTAATGAAATTGTGTAAAATGCAGCACGCTTTGATTAAAATTTGTGCAAATGATGTTGATACATTGATAGATCTTTGGAATATTGCAAATTTGTTTGTCAATATACCAAAACTCGATTCTATGTATCGGCGTGCACGACTTAACCTGTAATTAAATATTTTTTTTTTGTGTGTCAAATTTGTACGCGCGTATGGGCGAAGTATAGTATTGGAAATTCCAAAAGCTGCGTCTCCTACAATGACATGTGGCTGTGGGTTGATAGATGTGCCTGGTAATAATTTTGGAGGTGGCAAATATAGATCATCTCGTTCAAGTCTATGAAATAACGGACTTTTCTTGAACACATTAGCGTCTGCTTCGCTGCCACAAGCCCCTACATTTACATAGGTAAAACAGTAATTGGCATCACACATTGCAAGTAAAATAATAGAATAAAATTGCTTATGGTTGAAAAATACGGATCCACTTTCTTTTGGGCACGTGATTCTGGTATGCTTTCCGTCAAGGGCGCCTACGCAATTGGGAAAATTGGCATCCCTTTCAAAGCCAAGTGCTATGTTATTCCAAAAATTTGGATCAGGTTCAGGCAGACATTCGTTTTTCAAAATTTCCCATATTAATGAGCATACTTCTTCAATAATGTATTTAATTGTAGATAGCCCCAATCGATAACTTAAATGCAAATCAGACATTCTTGACCCAGTAGTCAGGTACCTGCCACAAAAAAAAAGTGTGTAATAAATAAGTAAAGTTACTAGCATATGTTGTTTTATTATTTATATTATTTAATTTACAGAAAAAGCTGTTCAGTTAAGATGGAAGACCGCCCGTGATGCATACATGAAGTGTAGAGCAAATCTTAAGACATCGAAGTCCGGTTCTGCAGGGGGTGTCAAAAAGAAGTATATTTTTTTCGATATAATGACGTTTTTGGAAGACACAAAGGACTTTGAACCCACACATGAAAGTATGGCTTTAACATCGTCGCAGACCTCCCAAAATGTTGCTTCAACGTCATCGCAAAACTCGCAAAGTATTTTACCTATTACCACGACCCCGGACTTGCCATCAACAGAAGAAACATTTCAGACACCTGTGCTGGCTTCTCCAAAACCGTGGCAGAGAAAAAAAAGAGATGTATGACAGACTTTGAGTCACAATTATTGAAAATATTAGAAAAGAATGACACTTCCACCACAAACTTTGCGTCGTCTACGGCTCTTAAAGACGATGACTGCAGTTTTTTTAATTCTCTAGCACCCATTATAAACGATTTCGATAATTATAAAAAATTGTTATTCCGAACTAGAATACTGGAGCTAGCTATGGAAATTAGAGGTCCAGCTATGAACTCGCCCAGCACATCTGCATCAACCGCTACCAACGATTTACCTCACTTATCAGGGAGTGATGTGGACGAGTCTTTAGAAAGCTGGCAACACGGTGATTACACTGCATTGTAATTAATTACATAATTACATTTTAAATTGATTATATAATTTTTTTAATTAAAAAAATTGTTTCATTTATTTAACTTTTAAATTTAAGTACCTACCTAATTGTTACAGCCAATCTCTCCCGCGAACATATAGGTTTCTTGTATATATCGCAACGCATTAAAGGTGGCTCTAGTTTCGCATGCAACTCCTCAAATGTCCTAATGGACATCTTGAAATATTTGAAGAATTTCATTTCGTCATCCCGCAAGTCCGAAAACAAGGATACAAATTCTCCTTTAAGAAGTCTTTTCTCAACCAGTGGATGCACATTAAATCTTCTACTATGGCGTCTTCTTCTTCTGTTGTTTAATAAATAGGCCGCAATCACAAAATTCAAAGTTTTATCCATGACACTGTACCACTCTCGATCACGATCCGCATCGCACTGAACGACGAATTTATCCGCGACGGACGCAAAACCTCATCCGCGTGCGGACGGTCCGCGTCGCACTGAATAGGGCCTAAGTTGACGCGCGGCTCAACGACGGGAGTTAAGTACATGTCAGGAAACATTTCGTTACCGCGTTTTAAAAACCTAGTAACGACATCTAGCGGAATCAATTTAAACTATGTATACGTTAGCTAATAAGAACTCTCAAAAAATATTTTTCTTATAATTTTGCACAATTTTTCTTATTGTAATACCGATTCATTCATAACCACGTATAAGAACTGTATTCATTTCCGTTCAATAAATATTACTAAGGCTTATTAATAAGGCTTACTAAGAACTGTTTCTACCACAGTTAAGTAATAGTTAAGGGTGAAAGCGTGACAGGTGGTGATAGTATTTCTGATCCATACTTATAATCACGCCTGTAACCCTTGCGGGGTAGGCAGAGCATCAACGGATTACTTAATATCGTCTGCGAGGTTATCGCCTATTCTGTGAATTACAATGCACCGAAACGTTTGAAGAAAATCAGCTGGTGAATTTTATGTTTTTTTTATCGCTCTCTTCCCGGTCCTGCGTGGAAAAATACAGATCCATACATTTTTTATCTTAATTTTGGTAAAAAGACATAATAATCCAGGTATTCTGACCTTCTGTGTTCGTCCATCGTACCGTCGCCCGACTTGTTGAATCACGGTGGTGCCACCTAGCTGAATTTAATTTTGCAACATATTTGATTTTCCCACTGGAATGATATGTTTTTCCGCTGAAAAAAGTAGCCTATGTCATTCTACAGCCACCGAACTATCCCCATACAAAAATTCATGTCATGCCGACGCACTGTTGCGACGTGAAAAAGGACAAACAAACAAACAAACACACTTTCGCATTTATAATATTAGTATGGATTGGTTGGGTGCCAATGATCTGAGTTTTATTGTATAAACTTTTGATATTTTTTAAATAGTGGATTTTCGATATATCGATTATTATAAATATATTAACATAGGAGTTTTACATATAAGTTTATTTATGGATATATCGAAAATCTAATATTTAAAAAAATATCAACAGTTTTAATTTGAACTGATCAGTTGGTATGATCAGTTTAACTGACCGTGTGTGGCCACTATATTACTACCTTGCTTGAAAGATCATAAGCTATCGATACAAGTAACAGTCTCAGTTGTGTAGTTCCGAAACCCCTGAAAAAAGTAAGTAAAAACTGGGAAAATTCGCTGAATAAGCAACGTCTTACTAGATATCTAAGATATCTTACTCATAGCTAATCCATATTTCATACTGTAGTATCAATAGTTACCACTTGTGGCGTAATCTCTCGAGAGCGGGGGCCAAGTCCTGACCTGCGATAGCCAGCCGGATCTCGCCGGTTTAGGCACGAAACACTACTTTAAAACGGTGTCTGAATTTATCATTTTGCATTTAAATTATCTCGACTATTTTTTTTTTGGGTTACTATCGGCGATAACAAATTGATAGTAATTAGTGTATAGTTTTAAAACTTCTTACTGGTAACGAGGTATACCATTAGCCCTTAGGGGTAACAGGTCAATTTGGACTGTTAAGGGAAGATAGATGTAGATGTTGTACGTGGTCGAGCCATGCTGCAGCTATATTATGGTATTAGGGTGAACGGGTCGGCTAGACCCTGGAAGGATAACGCTTTCACAGAATTTTTTTTTTCATTCATTCATTACAGTCCTTCACAAGTCCACTGCTGAACATAGGCCTCCCCCAAGTAATGCCACAAAGCACGGTCCTGAGCCACCTGCATCCATCGACTTCCTGCATATCTTACCAGGTCGTCACTCCATCTAGTGGGGGGTCGCCATACACTACGCCTACCGGTACGAGGCTGCCACTCGAGAACCTTTCTTCCCCATCGGTTATCGGTTCTTCGAGCTATATGGCCGGCCCATTGCCCCTTCAGCTTACTAATGCTTTGGGTTATGTCGGTCACTCTGGTTTTACTGCGGATATCCTCATTTCTGAGTCTATCACGCAGAAAAACTCCGAGCATAGCCCTCTCCATAGCTCGCTGAGCGACCTTGAGCGTCCTCATACGGCCAGCAGTGAAGGACCACGTCTCTGATCCGTAAGTCATCACTGGCAACACGCACTGGTTGTACACTTTAGTTTTCAGAGATTGAGGTATACCTGACGAGAAGATGTGTCGTAATTTCCCGAACGCTGCCCAGCCGAGTTGAATCCGTCGATTGACCTCTCGGTCGAAGTTGGACTTACCTAGTCGGAATATATCGGCGGAAAATAAAATTTTATCCTTATTCTATTAAAATAAGGTATCTAAGGTCCTCAGCATTCACTTACCATCAGGTTGACTGTGTATTCGTTGTCGACGTTACTTCTATAAAAATATTTAAACAATATTTTGTTCACTACCTTATAAATGAATAATTACGACTTTGACGATGATTATTTTAATGCCAGGATGCGCAGTGGCTAAGCGGTTTGGCGATACCAGCTGCGGATTCGATTCCCGTAAGTGATATACATCGTCAACAAATAATAGTTCCGAATCGGTGTGGTTGATGTACATATAAAAGGCCTCTACAATACATGAGACATTTCTATTGCAGGGATATGTTTTTTGTCAAGAAATTAGTAATAATTAAAGCAAATGTCTAAAAAAAATTAATTTATAGATGTTACTAAGAAAAACATTTTTTTCTGGATAATATCATCTTTTTTTAATGACATGACATATCGAGAGAAAATTGTGAAGGTAGCGACAGGTTTTTTTATAGGATAGGATGACAAACGAGCACACAATCCTCCTGATGGTAAGTAGATGCTGAGGCCCATAGACATCTACATCCGTCCTCAACAGCTATACCACTAATATACCTGCAGCATGGCTCTACCACGTATGAAATAGTAGGTTGTAACGACAGGTTGCTAGCCAATCTCCCACACAGAGTAAAAACCAGCTAAGTTGATATACACCTAGATTTCGATCAGTTTATTTCATAATGCTGATGATGATAATAAAGACTAAAATATAATCTGTGCAAAGTTAGACATACGGCTTTACTTATAAATCGATGTCAATTTATATTGTTAACTTATTGACATGCAGTTTTTTCCTTATGACTTCACCGCCGAGTATTTGGTAAATGGGTAATATATAGCCAGTGTTACAATATAATTCTTCCATTTCCTAAAATTACTAAGGTTAGGTGGGGTAAGAGGAACATACTTTACTTTCAGTAAAATATTTTGACTGCTTTGAAGAACAGCTAACGTTTTTTAAGATATTTGAAACAAACAAAACTTGCCTTTATGTATTAGCTTCACATGTGCAAAATGTCATTACGCTATTATCAGTTCTTACGACGATATTGACGTACATGTCAAGATTAAGTAAACGTTCCTCTTCCCCCTTACATGGGGTAAGACGGACAGTCATTGTGTTTCTTAAGATTGGAGTTTGAATTAAAATATTCTTTGCTAAATGTTCGTTAATTTGTAGATAGAACTGCTTCGGTCAAAATTAGATCTTACAATCGATGAAATAAGGTATCGTTTGGAATGAAGAAGGAGAATAAATACAATTCGTGGTAAGAGGGACATACAGGTTCGATCAGGGGTGGCAAACCAAAAAGAAGTCGACCAGTTAGTTATATTATATTTATTTAATCATACAAACAGTAATATATCTCCCTAACTAGTTTTCCCTAGTTAGTTACTCTTGAAAAATACCAATGGCACTTTGGATTTTAAGTCTTTGCGGTCGTATACAGGGTTAACAATTGTTGTTCTTGGTATATTATAAAGTTTTGATGCGGCGTATGCAGATATTGTTCCATTTTAGCCGCATTTACAGCCTTACTTAATTTGTCATTATCATATCTGCTTCTATCAGATTTTCTTATATATTTTCGCGACAAGATTTATCATATCCTATACCTTTAAACGAGCAATTCTTGTATATATATATATATATATATATATATATATATTTTATCAGAATCTCGGAAACGGCTCCAAAGATTTTCATAAAATTTTGTGTGCAGGGAGTTTCGGGGGGCAATAAATCGATCTAGCTAGGATTTATTTTTAGAAAATGTCTTTTTTGTCCGTGTTTTTAGGCAATGAAAAACTGCTACAATATCGTTAGAATAAGAAGGTAAATTTTGACAATTTGTTAATGATTACAAATAGGTTAATTGGTATATTGGGCGGTCACAAAATCGTAATACCATGGTTCG